GCGCGATTTACGTTTTACGTTACCGTTTTCCCACGTCTTGCGGATCGGAGAACGTTTCGAAAGGCACCTACTCCGAGTACTAATTGCCGTAAGAAATGTTGAACAGTATGTGCATCGCACGTGGGTTACGTTGAATACTGCGTACAATATCATACATCGACCTGACCTATGCACATGTTTTGGAAAGAACAAAAATAACCAAGACGCCCTACGTTATATCCCATCATGTGCCCAATTCGATAAGTCTATAGTCGTTTAATCTAAACCGTTGACCGTTTTCGCGTTCGTTTTTCACCGGGCGTCTTTTCCGGCCGAATAAATATTATTGTTGTACACGAACGAAATTCGCACGGAGTATTCGGTTTACGTTTGACGTACGTATCGACCGTCAATCAATAATCATCCGGAGTGTACCTCGATTTGAAATAAAAATGTACGTAAAACAATCATGTCTGAGTGCAAACCCTAAAAAAATACAGTAAACACGCAACACTCATAAAAAATAATTACACCATATTTCATATAACTTTTATCGAATGCTGCAACGGTTGACCGAATACAATATTGGAACAGCGAAATATTCTTGTACCGTATTATGTATCGTAAAAATAATTTAAATGTCCGTGGACTGTTTGCAATACTATAGTGATTTCAGCCTCGTGTTTATAATTGATGTTTTTTGCAAAATAAAAAACGTACATCACAGTCCAAACATGCCTCGACTGCGTTTCCGTAGTGTACACGTTCGGACATCTGACCTATTCGTAAATCAATTGGTGGATGAAGGGGCAAGGGTCAAACTTTAATATCCACCACAATCGATTCAACGTTACACTATATTTCGCTTGTTCTATTTTCAAACAATGTTGACTTGCGCCGCTATCACACGTACGTAGCATTTGTTTATAGTTAGATGTAGTTATAGAGTTATAGTTTTTATAATAACATCCGTTGTGCACACAATATACCCGTCGTTTCAGCCACAAATTGAACAGAGTTTTGTTCGGAAAAAAAAAAATAAATAGGATTCGAAATGATTTTAAAATTCTAACCGTTCTCGAAACACTCTGTGGAACGACAAACGAACGGTGAAAATATTATATTGTCCGTAATCATTATCGATTTTCGACGTTTCAGTGATCGAATTCTAGGGGTTGGACCATCGGTATCAACCCAGTTCACCGAAATCCGTTTCAGTGACGAATAACCGGTTTTGATACGGATCGAGTAAAAAAGTAATTTCATCGACAAATAAATCGCTATAAATCGATCAAAGTTACATCACTAAAGGTACCATTTCCAAGATGCGGCTGGTCACGACGGCTAGTCGTAGGGAGCCGACTCTTCGGAGTAAGCTTTTCAAAAAATGTCACATATGTTCAGTAGGAATGCAAACCGAATTCAGCACGTATGTTGTACTGCCGTATTTGTATTTTAAACATGCAGGGATGAGATGCTTAAAACATTTTGTATAAAACCATCTAATTATTTTTGTTCTACTACCTACCGATTACCAACAATTAATGTGCGCTAAACAATAGTAGTCTAAATACGAGTATTAGAAGTTTCTTATGTATTTTAATCACTGTTCGTTGTTCAACGAAAACGAAAAAGAAATATATTTATGTTCATACATTTTTACCGTTTTATCATTCGACGAAATAGGATTTGGCAAATTGGATTTCGAGGAAATGGGATTTTGACGAAACAGACCTAAACTGGACCAACACGGAGTTCTTATATATGATATCATCCCAAGCCCCTTTCCACATTTTCGTTGGAGTTCCGACCAAATCTTCGTGCTATGGGCACGAACTATCCAACTGGTTATATGAACGTATAATCGCATTCTTTAACCCGGGATGGACTTACGGTTGAGAAAAAAAAATATTAGAACGTGTTTATAAATGACGATAAACATCTATGAACGTTTTTCATTTGAATTCACTTTCTGATTTGGTTTTCATTCTAAAAATGTTATCGTTAATCTTTAAAAAAAAAAAAAAAAAAAAAATACGTGTACATAGTATACCATAAGTCGTTAGATTCGTCAGCTCCATTATGTTTTTCACGCTCAATCGTTGCGTTACGTTAGCCTGAATAACCGTCAGTTAACCGTCGGAAAACACAACACGTTGTACGTGTCTCATGACTACGGCTAAGTAAAATCGATTCTTCCTAAGAATATGTCAAGACCAACCAGGAGCTCGGGAACGAATCCCTTCTTCTTCGTGTTTGCACGTCAAAAATGTCACCCGCTTCGGTACTTCAGGTGATTTCGAGTTGAGCTCGGTAGCATTAAATGTAACTACATAACCGCATTGTTCCGATTACCGCGACGGAGAATTAGTTTCAAGTTCGTCCGTCGCTTCCGTCCAAAGCCTATACACACGTCCATCGAAGTGGTCGCAAACATCGGCAAAAAAAAAAAAAAAATGCATTCGGATTACAATTATTATTTTATCTTCCCCCCTCACCCCCTCGCCAAGGATCTGCATACGTGTCCGTATGTGCTCGAGTTCATGATTGTCGCCTTTTTTCCGCTCGGAAGAAGAAAACCGAAAGGTCCTACGAAATCCACGACGGCGGTCATTTGCACAACGTCGCAACATTGTTGACCGCACGACGTATTCGTGGTCACGAGTTCACGTCGCGTGAAATGCAGCGAAACTACCGTTTTCGCCGAGCGATGTACACATTAAACAATATAATAATAATACTACAATATATTGTAATATAATAAAATAATAACCGCGTATAACAATATATCGATTAAACTATCACTGCGAAATGCGCGCTGCGAACTCCGAGGACACCGATGTTTCGAGAGAACTATTATTAAATACGTTCAATTTCTGAATTTAATCCCCAGGCGCGACGCTCGCCCATCGTTTCGAAATCATACGAATTTCATCCGCGTCCTCGTGTCGTCGTTCTTATCATACCAGTTTTTGTTGAGTTTAAACTCTGATAACAATAATATTATGTTGCATTATTATTGTAACACGATACGTTTGCTCCGTTCTCCGCAGCCATAAATCGTAAATTAGGTAGGCAACGTTTTACCAACCGAACTATCCGAACGCTGTTTTCCGTTCGATCACAGATCAATTTCGTTTACGTTATTATTTATCGTTCTCGAACACTCGTTGGTAATTCGTGAAAAACATCGAAATTCAAACTTGCCAACAATTATGATGCGGTGTTTGTAAGGGTACTAAAAAATAAATAATTTTTTTTTTTGTGTTCCATTTATTTAACATCAAAAATGATTATAGTTATTATTTTTAAATATCATGATTCCGATCGTGTTTAGCCAACATATTGATCGGGCAATCAATATTAAAATGTCCACTGAAAAATATTTATAGGTCATAAATGTTTGTCGGATGTACGTAAATTTCAAATTAATTGAGTTTATTAAAAAAAAAAAAAAAAAACCGTGTGTACCAGATCGCGCGCGATAGAAATGAAACTTGTGATACACATTGAGCCATGGCAGGAATTCAAGGAATTTAATTGCGCAAAACACAATAATCATATGGAACGGAATTCTTTATTCTTCATAAAACGTCTGTATTCAACAATTAGTTGATGAAATGATTGGTTTGTGATAGTTGAAGTACGATGCAAGGATCGATATTTACTAAAACAGAAGTTTATGGTGCAGGCATAACAATTAAACTACTGTTAGTATTCAATAATCCACTTGCACTTTATCGATTACGATCGACCGTGTTTAAGCTGTAATGTTTTTTTTTTTTTTTTTTTACATCGTGTTCTCGGCATATTTTACACTCGAATTTTCACTGTTCTTATTAGTTTTTGCGCCTTTTTCCGTTCTCGATACATTTTAATTCGCAGCAAATGTGTTTTACCCGTAGTTAACAGTCAAAAGTGAACCAAAAAACTCCAAAACAATAACGCAACGTACAATACAAACGAGTTGAATGGCGCAACACGATATTATAACACGCCGTCGCCGTTAATTAAACGAAAAAACGTGGTTTTTTGTAAATTTATTTTTTTTTCGTAAGTTTTTAAATTTTGCGAGATTACAGTGATCAAAGGCAAAGTATTACTGTTGATATCGCACTTCAGTGTTGGTATTGGCGGCGGCATGATAAGCCGCGCCTGTAACACTCTTTGGCCGCAAATGCTAAGCCCACGAATCCGATTCACTCAACCCCGCGCCTAAAGCGGTTTCACTTCAAAACCACAATGACAGTGGCGAGACGTATACGGAACACAAATTAAAACACGGTTGGGTTAAAACGTACCGTGTTCGAAAGTTTATCGACCGTGATAGTTTTTTTTTTTTCGTCCGGGCGTTCCAACTATTCGGTGTTACTTAGCCGAAACCTGAACGCTTTTCTAGCGGACCGAGTTTGTTCACTTTTTACTCGTTTCCAACGTTAGCTGTCGGTCGGTGATCCGTGCATGAGTCTACGTTGTTTTATTGCTTTTGTACTGTGCCAGATAAAACGAACATACGTGCGTTAGAAAACATACGAGCAAATCAAATTCCATAGAGGTGGACAGTGTGTATTATACGGTTTTTCAAACTCGAAATAATCGTTTTGGTCACGCGTTCTCGAACGCGTCGTGTCCACCGGGGTGCGAACGAAACTCAACGTCACCGAGTAATGTGCCGAACGATAAAGATTAAAATTTCATCTCGAGACGTGCGGAACGTGTAAGATATTTGACGGCCACGTTGGATGTAGGCTCGTGGTCCGTAGTCGAGTAGATCGAGTCGGCGACACGAGGCTATGGCGGGAAATCTTTCCGGTGTTCCGGGGAGGCGATATTGGTTTCGTGACGTCGAGTTTTTTTCACTTGAATCCCACGCGCGGTGTAACGTTGCGTAGCGCACCGTGCCGAAACGTTCGTCGGCAACACGTGTCGCAATCAATGGATTTGTCCGGTCGCGGTTGTCCCTCCGTTCGATATAAGTTTTGCAGACGCAGAAGTTCGTAACAGCTTTTCGTTGTTCGCAGTGGACGACGGTCGCGGCCGGCGGCACTGCGTAGTTCATCCATCAGTGGTTGGTCCGCCGCGTGCAGCGTCCACGAACGAAGACGACGCATAGTTTTGCTATCGAATCAGAAATATCAACCGTACGCGAAGGGACGTGGTCGAGAAAAGCATAGCAGTATAGATGACACGACTGCGAGCGAGGGCTCGTTTCTGCCGACAATCCATCAGCGCGTGACGTTTTGCGGCTGCGGGCGAAGAAGAAACAATACCGAAAATATAGGTAAGAAAAATAATAATAAAGATAATAACAATATTGATAAAGCTTCGTTGCAAAACAACGTTATACTCAGGGGCAGGTTTAAAGAGGTGGCTAACGGGGCATTAACCCCCCCCCCCTACACATGGGACTAATCTAGCTATTTTACGAAGCCAAGTATTATGATATATTAATATATTAATAATTATTATAAAATATCATCAATCGTCATTGATGAATATGGTACCTATTTTATATAATTTTTTATAAATAAATAGCTCATTTTTGTTGTTAAATATATGTGTGTGTACTTATATTTTTAAAATGATTTCACATGAAAATCGATACCAATAATGCAACTATTTAAAATTTGTCAGTGTTGTGAAAAAAATGACTTACTTATGAGGAGCCTAAAAACATATTCTTTTATTTAAAATTTTATTTAGATTTAAAAAACAACTGATTAAATTCTTGAACCTTCATCAACCCCTCCCTTGGTGAGTGATAAAACCCGCCCCTGGTTATACTGTCATGTTTTGCGCCCGAGTAACCGAACTCGGGGAGAGTGATTTCCAGTAGATATGATAAACCATTTATTCCGGGCGGTGATGTGACGTCGGAAACAGGTGTGGGCTCGAACGTCGTCGCTAGCATCCGGTACCGTTTCGTTCGGAAAATATATATCATTCGATTATTATTGTTGAGGAGTCGATTTGATGAACCAAACGTATGAGCGCATTGTTTCGTTGAGTAAAGAAGCAGACAGCAGTTGTGTGCACCTGTACGTGTTGGGAACAGCAGACGGGAGCAATGATAATACGTTAAAACCAACACTGTACCGAGGAAAAATTATTATCGAACTCGAAAAACAACCATATTTACGGGTTTTTATTTAAGGATCATCCAAGCGGATAAGTGATGCGATTTATACCCGGATTCTGCGAAAAGCCTACAAATCCAGATTTTGAATTTCAGGCGAAAAAATCAGGATTCCGGGATTTTAAATATAAATTTACATTGGGGAATTCTGTATTTTAATTGAAAATCAATCTAAAATCAATAATTATCAAAATTGTATTATAATTCATTCATAAAATAATACTAAATCAATTTTTCAAAATCCGAAATCCAAATTTAGAATAAACCCCAGATTTCAAAAACAAAAATTCAATTTTACAGTCCGAATTTTGGATTTTGAATTTCAAAAATCCGGATTTTTCCATCCCTTACGAAAATATCCAATATGAATACATATTGTACAGATCGCATATTACATACACATAGACCATTTTCAGATTCAGATAGGTTTCTTCCGTATTATTTATCAATAAATAATTATTATAGAAGCATATTGTTATTACATTGTCGCGTAAAAAAAATAATGGATCAAAATATGTATTCGAAACGATTCAAAAACTTGTCGTTTGTGCGTTTACGAAAACATTTTGGGAACGTGTTTTCTCTCGATTTAATGTTATATTTGATAGGAAAAACGTGCACATTATTATTTTGTTTATACTATAATGTACTACATTTTACTAATATAAAACAATTATTATTGAACCTGTCCCAGTCCTAACACTTAGTGATTTATCATTGTTGTGGCACCGTCGAGTAACCACGCTACAATACACTACCGGTGCATAATTGTTACAATACGTAGTATCCAAACGACTGAAGGTAGCTCTTATATATTATGTAAACATTTTTCGTTAGTTGAATATTCTGATCGATGCGTATCATAGATCTTCATAATTTGTACCTGCCTCTCGAGCTAATGGAAATCGTACATTATTGTATTTTACGAAGTGATTCCTACCGTATAGTTCATGAATTATAGGTGGTTAAGTTAAGCACAAACAAATAGATCACGAAAATTTCGTGTAAATCGCTCGCGACGCCATAGAAACGTAAATTTACCGCCACGAATCCACAAACAACACGCGGTGTACCGCCGTTAAGTAACGTAAGAATTAAACGTGACGTGGTTAATGCACGGTGTTATTAATTAGTCAACGCGATACGCGTAATATAATTATATCGCGGTGATTATTATTGTTATTTTCAATCGAATTTCCAAACGCGTTTCGCGATTAATCATTTACTCATCATAAATAAATTGCGGAACGTTCATTAAACTTCAGCGATGTTATGTTATTATTGTATGTATAATACTGTATCACGTATAATTTGTATGCGAACTGCGCACGCCGCCTGCTTGCAATCAAGGATAATAGAATCAACCGTGTATTGTTGCCGAAACAGTAGCGGCGGTGGCTTGTGGTCCTGATCTATGCGCTCCGTAATAATACGTTCCTGCCCTCAGGCTCGTATCCAAATGAGGCCGTCTGGATATTCCCTTCCCCCGTACGAATAGTTTTCGAATGTGCTTAAACATTATTACGCTTGAGCGATACGTTTTTTGATGCCAAAAGGTGATTGTAAAAATAAAAGTTTCATCTCATTTTATCTGGAACGTATGAAAATTGTATTAAAAATAGAACACCCTCCCGCAGAGTAAAATTCTTCTCGAGCACCTGTCCACCTCTGGTACCCGTATCCGCGTCCTAGGAAAATAATTTGCTTACCATTATCGCCCATTATCGTTTTCGGGGTTTCGGCTAGCAAAACTTTAAACTTTAACGATACGGCACGGTATCATAATATTAATAGTAGTATTAATATCATAGGGACAGGGATACGAACGAAAGCAGTACATATTTATGTCGCGTCTGCCGAACAAATCGGCCATGTTGTACGGTTAACGTCGAAAGCGGTATCGTATTATGTTTGAACTTCGCGCGGTGTTTGCCGGACAGGAACTTCGCGCGCGATAACTTCGAATAGAAACCCGTAGAGCCCAGACCCGACATCAGCGAAATCGGATAAGTGTTACGGTAGAACATGAATAGCCGTCTGCAATCTTCGATTGCGAAAACCGTGCAGGCATGTGTTGTACTCATGCATAACAAACGTAGAAGATAATCTCGGCAATCGCGGATTGATATCGGTTTAGCCGCGTTCGAGAAAACAGAAGAAACCAAATGATTTTGTATGCATTTTATCAAGACGGTCGGATTGAGAACGTTTTCTTCGAAAAAATCAAATGCTCTGCAGATCAGTACTTTGGAAAAAGTGAATAAAAAAAATAATAATATAATCGGTGCACGCTAATCGCATTTTAAATAAACGTCAGTCAAAAATATTAATTGTTTTTCGTCGTTGTTATTTGATCGAAAAATACATACTAAATTCAAACGATGAAAATCCCTCAGCGATTATCCGATTTATTCGGATTAATTTCTCTGTGTAGACAATTTTTGTTACAGCCGACTGATTTCGATATTTAAACGTTAGATAAACGAACGTTCTGAGTTCATAACGATATGCTCCGCATAAAGCAGTGAAATGGTGTTTTCGATAAATTCCATTGTCTGAAGGATGGATGTGTTCGCAACGCGGGCTTTTGGTCGATGAAAATATCTATCCCTCCAAGTACACGCACGGGCAATGAATAGTTAATTATTATTACTATATATTATGACTATCGATCCACGGAGATGACTTGAAAATCCCATAATTTAAACGGGTAACGAGATCGATAACCTGCAATGTTTTCCACGGGGATCATGACGCGAATCTTGTACGAAAAGCTACTTGTGTACAGTGCCGCAATAACCGGGTGCGTTGCGTGAGTCAAACACACGGGCCCATGGCCCCGGCCTATAATAAGGCCCGACGATAATATTTGAAAAATATGTAGAAATCAAGAAAATAAAACCATTATGTAATGATAATTATTAATGGAGATCGAACAATAATTGTTTGATCTTGTTTTGTACACATCATCGTACATGAACGTTTCTTTTGTATGATCGGAATTCAAAATGGTTTGGTTACAATTATCGATTAGAGCATCGGTTCTGAAACTGTGCTTCACGGACCCCTAGGGCTCCGCGTGAGAATTTCAAGAGCTCCGTGGGCATGTCTAAATCAATTAAAATTAAATACGTATTATTATATTTCTTAGTTATCGAGGAAATACACTCGAAAGAGGCTTTTGGAAAATCGGTTTACTGCTTGGCGGGGAACGCATTTTCGCCGAGGTCCGGGACACAGAGAGAGGCGAAATAATGTCGAAGTGACGAGTGCAACAGAAGTGGGGAGTGCAAAAATACAAATATTTCCAATCGTTCGTAGGCGATTAATAATCAATATCTTCGGAACCGTATATACGAAGCTGCACGTACGAGCCTGGTCGCACGCGCGACTTGTAGTTGTGGCGCAAAATATACGAAACGTTACACACCGGTACGTGAATTCGACACTCAGCGTAATCATTATGCGCACTACCTATGATCACGCGATGTCACTGTACACAATGCAATGTTGATTTTGTGATAACGGTTGAACACAACACGTTGCAGTGATCGGGGCGACGCATTTGAATGCGCTTGCCTTCTCGATTGCAACGGTACATGTATGTGTAATACATTGGACGTGCCGCTGACAACAGCGATTCACGTTTCGACGAAAATCGAGCAGTAACAATTATAATTAAAAAGCTACGGAACCGAGTAACTTTTAAGTTTTCGAGTTATTTCGTTTAAAGTTTTTTTTTTCCCCCGTGCCTTATTCCCACATAAAAATATATAATTAGGTTTGGAATTATTTAACATGAAAATGAACGCGTTAAGTTTTTGTGCCTGAAGTTGATGTTCGTCCCGATAAGCTTATAGCTATATTTCGCATCGCAGCGTTAAAAAATTAAAACGCACAACGTAACAAGACGGATTAATTATAAAACAAAACGTATTAAGTAACTTTGCGCTATTATTATACAGGTAAGTTAATTTGTTACGTCTGAACCGTAAGAAATAACACATAACTCGGTATTCACTTAACTAGTCACTGTAATTTCATTTGGTAACCCACCGTAGTCCGTATTAGTTACCAATATTTCATTACCATTCGGCTTTGATCGGTTTTTATAGTAAGAAATCGCGCAAACTCGTTACCTATTA